GATCTCGTCTAACGGTACTTCGGGTTTTAGTTTATTTGCTTCGATGGAGATTTCCGCTGACTTCGTAGCTCGTCGGATTTTGCTGGTTTCAAACCATTCTGTGAGGACTCTGGAGGGGTTGTGTGTTGGTTTATCGTCGTCTGTGTCCGTTTCGAGGTATGCCAGTAATAGTTCTTGATCGTCCGCTCTGAGGGGTACCCCCACAAAGTTCCTTCTGGGGGTGTGATTGTTTGTCGGGTTTTTTGTAGCTCCTGTTGTTTCTTGATCTTGTCTTGTTTGATGGTGATCTTCCCGGTTTCCCAATTGATGGTTGGATTGTAGTTTCGTATCCAGGGCATTCCAAAGATTACGTCATCTCGTCCGATATTGGCCACATACCAGTTGGTAGGTAGCTTGTTTCCGTTGAGGATGAAGTTTCCTTCCACGCGATGAGTGATGTTTCCTGAGCTGTTGATTGTGTCGTCCGCGTTCTTGAACCGGACAGGTACTGGTAGTAGCACTGTTGGGAGTTTGTATTTGTCCACTATTCGTTTGTTGATAATTACTGTGTCGGCTCCTGAGTCGAGGAGGCCTTTGATTTCGACAGCGATTTTTCCCACTTCGATGTAACCGTTGAGTAATAAGGCGTGTCTTCGCTGTTCGGTATTTGATACAAGGGTTACATGAATGGTGGTTGTATTAGGCAGATCCGGCGTCGATTTGTCCTGCCGCTTTAAAAATCCTCCGTCTCGTCAATTACAGTAGCGTTGATTTCGGCTTCGGAGTCGCTGGGAGGGTCGTCTTCTTGGTCCTCCCTCATGGCACGAATCTTCTGCTGTTCCGGCTTTCCTTTCTTCTTGGCTGGGCAGAATCGTGCCAGGTGCTTTCCTTTCTTGCAATAGAAGCATAATCCCTTGCTTCGTAGGTCTTGTTCTTCTTCCGCAGAGAGTCGGTTGACTTCTCTGTTCGATCTTTCTGTGGTTGTGGTTTTAACCACCTTCGTCTTGAACCTTGGTTTGATCCCGAGGATCTTGTCCATGTCTTTCTTCATCTTCCAGTTCCTGTCGACATCGATAGCTCGCGCCATCCATGTGTTGAGGTCTGCAGGTACTGTGGCCATGTCCAGGATCTTATTGCGTACTGGCGCATCAAGGGATTGTCGGTACCATGCTAGTTGGGCGCGTGGTTCTGTGATGAGTGCCTTCGTGATTAGATCCATAAAGGTTCCATTAAAGGTGTCGATGGACTCGTAATCCTTTGATGTCAGAGTACGCAGCCTGTTGGCAGCGTGCATTTCTTCGTTGATAGGCGTGAAGGTAGCGAGTAGAGCAGTGAGGAAGTTTCTCCATGTTCCATAGCCTTGCCTGTTTCCTGCTGCGTCGGTTTCCCAGGCTTGGCGTAGGACGGCTGTCTTCCAGATCGCGGCTGTGCCTCCTTCCATGTAGGATAAGGCAGTGGTGATCATTGTTTGGTCGTCCGGAAAATCGACAGGTCGTGCGTCGAATAGCAGGAGTAAGGCTTGTACGAACGTGTCGAGTTTGTCTCGATCTCCATTGAACGGTTCCGGTAGTTTAACCTTCCCTTTACCTCGTAGTGGCATGTAACCACCCAGGGGTCCTTGGGGGATATTTCCACCTGGATTGGCGGGTGGTCCTCCTCCTGGGGGTCCGTGTGGTGGTCCCCCTACTGGAGGTCCTCCTGCTGGGGTCCTGGTGGTATTCCTCCTCCGGGAGGTCCCTGTGGTGGTCCTCCTCCTTGTCCCAGAATGGGTGTCAGGGACCTCAGGGGATCAGGAGGTGGGTATGCTGCAATTCCTCCGAGTCGCGGCAGTGCTATCGACGTCCATGCTGCTGCTGAAGCGCTTGCATTTGTGGGGTTTGCGCTTAGCGTGAAGCTTGGTACTCCTCTTCGCTCGAAGCTCCATTGATTGTCTTCCGTCCTTTGATGTAGTGCTCTTGCCGCTTCTTCGTCGCGCCAACTCCTTATTTCGTCCCAGTCGAAGTTCAAGCGGCCTCCTCCTGACTCGTGGTCGGATTCTTCTTCTGGCTGCACTGGTTCGGTGATGGTGGTTCGTACCACCTCTGTTTCTGTGACCGTCGCCATCTCTGGTTCTGGTTCCTTGGTTTCGAGGGTTATGTCTGGTTGTTTGCCTGTGCGGCTCGTTCCTGGAATTGGGGCGTTACTGGTTCTTCCTTTGTCAAAGATCTGGGGGTAATCCTTGGCGAGTCTCTTGCTCGTTGTCCTGATGTGGTTCTAGCAATCTGGCGGCTTTGGGGGCATAGGTTGGGATTGCTCCTGGGTTCGCAGTGGTTTCCACAGTCGTTCAGGCCTGTGGGATATTGTGCTGTGAATATTCTTCCTGTAGTTCTGAGACTGGTTCGTATGGAGGTTCTAATTCTGGTGCCTTGTACTTTCGAGCTGCCCAATCCTGATGGGACAGCGTTGTGTGGTGCACCGTTGATATCCTCGCCTAGTAATGTGATAGTCGGCAGTGTTGGTCGGGTTGAAGATGTGAGCGTAGTCTTTGCAGGATCTATCAGGTTCTTCCTTGCTTCAGTTGACATTCAATATCTTGAACCGTTTCGAGAGCAATGCGAACTCGCTTGAGTGCTTCGAGGCGGTTGGGGTAGTCTGGATGGATGAAGTTACCCCTGAAGTTGAATATGAATTGTTCAAGATCGGCTACGTCGAATTGAAGGCGTTGCACGAGCTTGGTGATTAGGTCGTGCGCGTGAAGAGGTAGTTCAATCGGTTCTTCGTCACGTCTGGAACTCCGTAGAATTCACCAGAGTATCGTCCAGGTCTGTGATTGCTGGTGGAGTGTTTCCAGTTCGAGTGCTCCAAATCTTTCTACTAAGATGGGTTCGGTCTGGAGTGCGTTCAGGTTTTCTCCTCCTTGCCTCAGAGCCCTCCTAAAAGTGTAGTACTCTTCGACGGTTTCTTCGCTTGATTCTTCTTCTACTTGAGCCTGTACCGCGGTTCTCTCTTCGTCTTCGTTGATTATTGTGTCGAAGGGAGTATGGGGCTCGGGTGCGGGCTATGGATTCAACGCGAAGATTGGGTCGTCCGTGAAGAGGGGTCTTGGCAATAGGATGAGAGGGGTTCCAGGGGTAGCGTATAAGTGCGAGTTGCGGGAATTTTCCCTATGGCTTGTTTCCGAACTTGCGTATTGCTGAACGATATCCGTGATGTCTGATGTTTATACTGTGTTCTGCGTTCGAGCAGTACACAGCCTTCCTTGGTCCTAGATAGATCCTCTGCACTTATAAAAGTGGAGGGTTCGAGACTTGAATCTAATGTTACGTTCAAGACTTATTCTGGATGGAATACAGCCTAGGCGCCTGTGGTTACGGTGGCGATGCTCTGGCGCTTGCGTGCTATCGAGCGAGTGCGAGCGACAAGAGGATGAGATTGCGCGTAGCTGAGGTAGACGTGGTAGTACAAAGGAGATTCAAGTCTGGAGAGGGAGCGCTCTGGGGCGTCGTCCTTATATACAGGAGCGAGAGTGGGGAGTCACATTATCTACGAGTCATCACCAGTCCGCATGACCCAGCCCTAGTCGTAGCGACTCGTCATGACTAGATACCGCAGGAGGAGTCAGGGCGAGTACACGATGAGTAGCGATGAGTATCTGTGAGTCAGAAGGTACAGCATGTGTATGTAATAGTTCTGCATATAGGGAGAGCGGGGGTTAAGGATGGAAATTAAATGGGGGCAGCGTACGAGTGTCCGTGATCGTAACAATTACAAGGCTAGAAGACTTTTGTCATAAAGTACGTCACTTATAACAGCCTAGGTGTCGCCCTGTCATTACTAACAAGGCTTATTACAGCTCTAGCAGGGTGCTGTGATTAAGAATGAGGCTTATTACAGCTTGAGAGGCTTTTGTTATAAAGTACATCACTTATACAAGCTCTGGGAGGGTGCTGTCATTAAGAATAAGGCTTATAACAGCCCAGAGGGGTCTCTGTCATTACAGATTTCACTTATAACAACACAGAGGGGTCCCTGTCATTAGAGAATTCACTTATTACAGCCCAGAGAGGCTCCTGTCATTACAGAATTTGCTTATGACAGCCTGAAAGATCACTGTAATAACTCTGCGTCATTTGCCTGTTATTACAACACAGGCATGCTTGTGATTGTTAGAACCCAACCAGGCTTTTCTACAATGAAAATGTGGTGGGTATCAGCATAATGAAGTGCCCACGTTCCTGGGGGATTGTATTACATTAGTGGTAACCACAGGTGGGTTGAAGGCACTCTTGAGGTCGACGACTGAGAAGACCTTGCAACCTTGAACGCAGTCGAGGATGTTGTCGATGAGGGGAAGGGGTACGAGTTCTTCTTCATGATTGCGTTGAGGCCACGGTAGTCGACGCAAAGACGGAGCTCACCAGTCTTCTTCTTGACTAAAAGAACAGGGGAAGCAGCGGGCGACGTCGAGCGACGGATGAACCCCTTGTGGAGCTCGTCCTCAACGTAGTCGAAGAGAACACGACGTTCTTCTTGAGCATCAGCAAAAGCGCGGACGCCTTAGGATCGGGTTGCAAGCGCCAGAATCCTTGGGATGTCTGGGATGCGAGGTAAGGGGCGTGCCTTGTTGGGAACACCATCTGACAGCCACGGCATGATAAGGATCCACTTGTGTTAGGCCCGGGATATGCGGGATCTCATTGCAATTCAAGTAGGTTTGGTAGGATACGTGTGAGCATCCTGAACAATGTACTGTATCCCCGATATCTCAATTGATTCCCGTCCTCTCAGTGATTGTGATGGGCTCACCCGGAACGAGGGGTCCCAGGAATCCCGCCAGCGCTCAGGGTGGTACCGGTTCAAATCGCGCGCACATATAGATGAGTAGGGACGAGGATTGTAGATTGACAACAGACGAGTACAACAGAGACACAAGTAAATAATTTTCGGACGTTGTTGCAGGGACACGAAGCAGAACGCATGCTAGCGGACGCCCTTCCAGCCACCATGTGTTGAGACATTGGCGGCGACTTGACCATGAAGAACTAGATGGGCCCGGAGGTTGACCTATCGTCCTCATGCGCGACGAGCTGCTGCGCGAACTGAGCCTTGATGAGTTCCGCCTCGTTGGCGAAACCATCGGCGCGCTTCAAAGCAGGCGTGGCAGAGCTCCCCTGGTCGAAGCTTGTTTGGCCGCCGTACACCTTCCTGTTGAGAGCGTGAGCACGATATGACGTGGCCGATCAATGTGGGCAAGTACCTCTGCCAGAACGCGAGCTTCTGAGCACCTAAGACGGTCTGGGGGTCGAGTATATCGACAATGAGATCGTAGAATGCCTTCCCACTGAAAGCGCCCTGCAGGTCGCACCAAACTGCTGTGTCGCTGAGAGCGAAACGCACCTATTGAAAAGGAGCGTGAGCAAGCAGTTCCAAGATTTAGTTGAGATTCACTCACCATGGTAGCAATGTACGCAATCCTCTCACGAGTCACGTAAGAAAGGCCGTATTCCCTGGAGATGGACGCGCGTCCCTTTCCAGTGATGGCAGGGGGCCCGAAAGCAGTTTGATGTCCGGTGAAGAGAGAGCGATACACCTGGCGTGATGAAGTGAAATTAGCAAGGGTCGTCGCGCGAGGAATGATATCTGAGGGCTCACACCAATGAGCAACTCGCTCTCGAAGAATCCTTGAACACGGTTGTCGGGGTTGTACGGCGTGTCTTCGCTATATACCATGGTAGGCCACGAGTTAGCGTCAATGGTCGTCAGGCTGAGCTGGACCTGGGTACAGAAGCTGTCCCGGGCGACATCATTGTATGGTTTGAAGGGTGCGATCAGAACTATAGTGTGTACTCACTGGTTTGGCTCCCTCTCGAACTCCTCGAGTCTCTCTCGGGGAGTGAGAAGGTGTGCTGTCCAGAGCGAATTGAAGCCCAGCTGCCCCTTACTCTGCTTCCCCGTTGGCTCCAGAGAAACGACGAGGGGGTCTTCACCAGGTGTGCGGATGGTCCAGGATCTGACAAAGTGGCGTAAGGATTCCTTGACTTTACCTAGGTCCGCGATCCGGCTTTGTCCCGCATGCTTTTGAACCTGACGTACTCGGGTTTATGAGCAATGCCCACGTGCGAATAGTAGATTGAGACGAACAAACGTGGCAAAATGAATGACAGCTTGAGGGACTGAGACCAGCACATTGACGATCTCCCACATGAACGGCATGTTGTTGGCAAATACCTCGAAGATGTCCATGATCCAGATGGGATCGATGGGTGGACTACATGACAACGTAGTAAGCATCGGCCTGAACGAGATAGAGCAACTTACGTGGACTTGACCATGACTTTTAGAAGGGCGGCCCACTTCGCATCGTCGTCCTTGGTCACGGCTATCTTGCAGCCGTAGCTCATGACCTCAATGACGTTGATGAAGGGGCTGTGGTTGCGTGGGATCATGCGCGCGAAATGGTGGACCCTAGCGGCATCCGTGTGCTTGTTCGCATCGCTTCAGCACAGAGTATGGGATGAGAACCATTCTACGCCCATGTGAAATGAAGAGACGTACCTGGGTGTCCAGTGTGGGTCCGTCATATCCGCTATCATGCGGTCGCACCTGAGCCTGACCGGGTCGATGGTGATGCTGAGTGCTTGAGCTGTCGGGACCGGGACCGGGAAATTGCCGGTGGTGACCATGGTGGAAGCCATAGCGGCGGTGAGGGGAGAGGCTATTATCCCGCCAGGAGCGAGAGTAACAGGTGCAGAGGTCGGGGCACTCACTCCGGCACCAGGAATGAACGGGATGAGCGCGGTGCTGGCATGAGGAGGCGGAGGCACAGAGAGGTGGGGGCTGGGTGTCGCGTCGTTGTGATCTGACGAGTCGTCCTGTCGACTCGGACGAGGGCTAGCGGACCGGGACCGTGCGCTTTGATGGTGGCTGCGGCTGCGGGTGCGACGGCGATGGCTACGACTCGAGCGGCCGTGACGTTCGTATGAACGATCTCGGCTGTACGACCGACGGCGACTGTGCGAACGATGCCGACCCTCGTTCAAACGTCCACGGCTGGTGTTCGAACGATGCCGGTCGTAGCGATCCGAGTGACGGCTCCGTCCACGTTCTTCGCGCCGCCGTGGGGCAGAGCCGTCTGGCCTGGAGGGAGATATGTGGTTGGTAGGAGGGACGATCTATGAGACGTGGGAGAACACTCACATTGACGGTATGTCTTGGGAGTGTTGCGATGAAGGCATGGGCAAAATGTGAGAGTGGAGATGAAGATTGAAGGTTTGTGGGCACTCACCAGCACGTCAGCGGGGGTCCACGGTTTTATGCCCTCCAACTTCCAGAGCTGCGGGCGCCGCGCGGACACACGCGAAACGAGCTGTTCGGGTGTAATTTTGCTCCTGGTTTGTTGGGCTGGACAAAGATGGGCGTAGGCAAGGAGGAGGACTGATCAGAGCGTGCGCGCGCCCGGCTGGCAGGGCGGCTGATTAGAGAGCGTGCGCGGCCTGTGCACATGGCACGTGAGACACGGCACGCGTCGCGGCTCCGTCGAGTTGCAGTGAACTGTGGTTCAACCACCTCCTCATGTATTCCAACCGTCTCGAACTAAACATATGCCCACAACACACCATGTTCTCCTTCTCAGCACTCACCATCACCCTCGTCGCCAGTGGAATGGTCAGGATTATCCGTGCTCGCCGAACGACCATCCCCGAATAGCCTGGCCCCCAGCACTAAGCTATCGACTCTGATTGCTCCCCGGAATATTGTCTTTCCGGTATGAATGTTTCACTCGGGCCCATCCTGGCGTGATAATCGTATCAGAGTGAGTTTTGTGCCTTGAGATGCAAGTGCACTCCGAGCTCACCCTTCCACTGCAGATTCGAGATCTCTTGTCTCGCCTCAGTCCTTTCCACCTCTTCCAAGTCTCTTTGCTTGCATGCGCGCCCTCTCATTCTGCTTCCTTGCCGCCCTATCCCTCTTGCTGCTCATGAAGTGTACCGGATGCCACCGAGATTACGACCCTTCTCGCTTCACAAGGCATATCAAACAGTGCAAGTTATTCCACAACGACTTCCAGAATGGACTGGAACAGCGGATAGCAACAGAGGCGGAGGTTCAAGCGGTTGAGGCTCGGGAAATAGAGGCATGGCGTGTGGCGGAGGAGGAGCAAGCTCGCCTTGAATGAGAACGGGCTGAGGCTCAGGTACGCACCACTGCACTTGTTTTATTTTGATAGCTGCCTTACGCTTTGCATTCAGGCGATGGCGGATGCTGAGTACGCCGCAGAGTTTCACTCTGTCAGCCGAACGGGTCGATGCCGTCGCGCTCCGGCAAAGCTTCAAGACATGGTGCCTACATCGCTCGCGGGCCTTCCAGAGCATATTCCTCGACGCCCTCCCCCCATCATTCCCACTCCTTCCGCAGCTGCAGATTCGGGCGGGCCTCAGGCACTCCAAGATCCTCAAGAGGAGTCTCAAACGATTCCGGCACCACCTGTGCGGCACTTCATCGACACTGTCGCCAACCGCTTCCGTGTATTTCGCCGCTACTTCCGTTCGCCAGCACAAGATCCCGAAGAGGGCAGAACGCTTGAAACCTTTGCGGATGCCCCCACACACGTTCGCACCCCAGACCAACGTGAACCCCTTCAATCGTTCGGGGTTTCCGATCCAGGCGCCGTCCAGGCATTGTCCTTTGCGCCATTCCTCAACGCCACCGTCTTCCGCCTCATGAGGTGGTTCTATTCATCTTTGTTCACCAAGTCTATCGCTGGGCTTAATTCGCTCATCCATGAGGTTCTTCTGGCCGACGACTTCAGTCGAGAAGATTTGCGTGGTTTCAGCGCAGCACGGGAGATGAAGCGCATGGACGACCACCAGTCAATGTCGGAGGCGGGTACATTCTCCGCGTCCAACAAGTGGCGGGAAGGCTCCGTCAAAATAGGGGTTCCGAAGCCGAAGAACTACCTCGTTCACGGCAACTCAGAGGCGAACGCCCCGCAGATGGTGGTTGATGGCATCTGGTACAGAACCCTATGCGATCTCATCCGAATGGGTGCCCAAGCAGCCAGCGCGCGATCCGCTCACTGGATCCCATTTGAGCTCTATTGGCAACCACCGCACTCGCCGGAGCAGGTCTCTCCTCAAGATGCGGACTCTTCTATCGGCACGGACACGCCAAGCCTGCCATCAACTCGTCTCTACTCAGAGGTGTACAACTCACAAGCTCTCCTCGATGCCGATGCCGAGCTCCAGTCCCAACCCCGCCACCCTGCCGATTCCGACAGTGATGTTGAGTACGCAGTCGCTCCTCTCATGCTGTACTCGGATTCAACGCACCTCACAAACTTCGGCACCGCATCGCTCTGGCCCCTGTACGTCTGGTTCAGCTGGTTGTCCAAGTACGAACGGGGCAAACCCAGCGCTTTCGCGGCACATCATCTGGCATACATCCCTTCGGTGAGTACCGCACTTATCCCATGTTTCTTGTTCTTACGCATATTCGTCCGTGGACTAGCTTCCTAAAACCATCCAGAAGTGGTATCAGGATCAGTTCGGCGAGCCTGCTACAGAATCTATACTCCGCTTCTGCAAGCGCGAGCTCATGCAAAAGATCTGGGAGCTGCTTCTCGACGACGAATTCCTGCTCGCATATAAAGAAGGCATCTTGATCGTTTGCGCAGACGGCATCACCCGTCGTCTTTTCCCTCGCATTTTCACATACTCTGCCGACTATCCCGAAAAGTATGTGCCATGTTACTATCATATTTCTTGTTTCTGACTCCTGCGACTGCAGATGCCTCATCGCTTGCGTCAAACCTATGGGCAAGTGCCCCTGTACAGACTGCCATGTCCGCAAGACCGACATCCATCTCATGGGTACCAAGCAAGATCTAGCGCAGCGCCAACGACACCCCCGCACTGCCCTCAGCTCTACACTCCAGAGGTGGATCGAGAACGTGCGGAGCTGGATTTTTGAGCGGGGTATCGACCCGGAATCCAAGCACGTGAACGAATCACCGCTCAATGAGCACTCTACAACACCGGCACGGGTGAGCTATTTGTAAGCATTTGTCCGACACTATGCTTACTTCTACCAGAATGCCTTTTCAACACGCCTCAATGCATTTGGATTCGATGTGTATCGAATACTCGTGCCTGATCTCATGCACGAGTTTGAGCTGGGAGTGTGGAAGTCAACACTCACACACCTCCTACGATTGGTGATCGCTCTTGGGGGGGACAACATCCAGACCCTAGACTCAAGGTACGTATTTCGGACCTGATAGAGAAACCCGAGTCGGTTTGTCTGAGGCTCACCCATACCCTCACCCACGCGATCGCCCACGTGATGGGTGAGGGTACGGGTCAGGTCACAGTCTTGCATTCGGAACACGTTGTCACTACAAGCGTAGATGCGCGAGGCGCGATGTGTTTCACACGTTGGGGGTGACGGGTGCGGCTCACCGCATGCTTCGCGCGTGTCAAGCGCAGCCATGCGCGACGACCTCGATGCGTGCGGCGAGCTCGATGTGTGGGGCGAGCTCGACGCATTGGGCGCGGGCAGTGTATTTTGCCGTGTTAAACCGGACACGGCAAAATGGTCCCTTGCCACCACCTGCACCCTCGCCCGCGAAGAGTGCGGGTCGCCACGCGTACCCCTTGATCTCCAAAGTACCTTCGGAGGCTAACATATTGGCATTATAGATTCTCGCAGGTCCCGACCTTTGGAAGGTCTACGATACGACCATTCGGGTCAAATATGTCGGGTCTCAAAAAGCTCGCTGCTCGGGACTATGAAGATATCCTTCAGGTGTGTATCTATGTTGCGAACTTGCGAGGGTCATCTCCATGTTATTCATATGTTGCCTTAGTGCTCGTTCCCCTGCTTCGAAGGGCTCGGCTTCGTCTCTCCATCACACAACAAGATCGTTCTGGAAATGATCTTCCGATTGTCTACCTGGCACGCCCTGGCGAAGCTTCGCCTTCATTCAGAGGACTCGTTACGCTACATGGAACACGTGACAACCCTGCTTGGCGCTGCGATGAGGTCCTTTGTTCGTCACGTTTGCTCGGCATACTTGACGAAAGAGCTCCCAAAGGAGACAGCAGCTCGTCAACGACGAAAGGTTGCCACCACCGCCTCCGTACGTGGTAGCCGAGGGTCTACCAACACCCCGACATCGTCTGACGCCAAGATCAAGGTCTTCGATCTCAACACGATCAAGTTTCATAAGATGCCTGAATATCCAAGAAGCATTCGCCAATTTGGGACGACAGACAACACGACAACGCAGCCGGTGCGTGTCACATGTTCCGTTTCTAGAATCAGCTGACATTTCAAAACCAGGGAGAGCAAGAGCATCACCGCGTCAAGGAGTTCTACGATCAAACGAACAAGACATCGTCATTTGTGGGCCAGATTGCACGACGACAGGGGCACCAGGCGCTGTTGCACGAAATCTCATCGCACGCAGACGTGCCGCAGCCTCCTCCGCGTAAGAAAAGGAAATTGAACCCTGAGTCGAGTGCCGATCTTCGCATTCCTGGCGGCACCAAGGAGTCACTCTCGTCGACATCACCCAAGGACCACCATCACGTCTCGTTTGAACAACGGGAGCACGTCAACATCAAGACGTTCGTGCACAAGAACAAGGATGACATTGCGTGTACAGTGAGTAGATTTAATCGAATGCTGGGTCCGACACAGTCTAATATAGTATTACACAGGACTTCGAGTACAAACTCAAATGTCACCTGTATAACCGGGTGCATGGGCATGACGCGTCGACACTCAGCGATGCGGCTTCGGTCCATATCAGAAAAGATCAAATGTGGCTTCACAAGACGCTTCGTGTGAACTACACCACCTACGATATGCGTCGCGAGCAAGACTCCATCAACCCGAGCAGCCACGCCGACGTGATGATGCTCGCAGCTCGTCCGGATGAAGCCACTGACGCGGAAGGCAATCACCCATATCTATATGCCCGGGTACTCTCTGTGTTCCATGTTAACGTTACTCTCCAGTCAGAGCCCCTCATCGAGCCTTGCCCTATCCACGTGCTCTGGGTACGCTGGTTTGAGCTAGACACGCTCGCCCCTGGAGGATTCAACACTCTCCGTCCCCACCGCCTCCGCTTTGCACCTGCGAGCGATGCCTTCGACTTCATTTCCCCTGACCGGATCCTGCGTAGTGTGCATCTTATACCTGCGTTTCATCATGGTCGCTCCGACGCCGCTCTCAGAGGTCCAAGTATTGCACGCATTGAGACGGACGACATCGCCGTTGAGGACGACTGGAATTACCACTATGTTGGCATGTAAGTCGTCACTACTCCCCCTCAAGTTGCCCACGCTCATATCCATTACCCAGGTGGTCAGACCGTGATCTCTTTATGAGATATTTTGGTGGTGCTGTCGGACATCTGCACATCGGTGCTGAAGCACACGTCACCCCCGCCATCGAGGATGTATGTGTGCCTGTCCAAAATATGATATCACTTAGCTCACCACGCATTGTTCTTGCAGTCGGGTGATGCTTCGGAGCTTGTCCACCCATCCGACGTCGAGAATGCTGCCGGCGGTTCCGCCAGCGACGCAACTTCAGAGGACGAACTTGAACAACTTGAAGAGTCGGAGGATGACGGAGAAGAAGCTCTCAAGGACGTCGGGGAGCTTAACGGCGAAGAAGACGACGACGACGAGCACGCTCTTGATGGGTACGCCGCTCTATAGGTGCGTTGTTCGAACCAGGCTGGGCCTGCGTTGAACCCCACGCTCAAAACAGCCGTTCCCTACAGCTCTGCTCTGTTGCAGCACGGCCAAACACTCGCCGAGTTGCGCTTTCTGACACATCAAGGT